GCCCGGGCCCCCCTGTGGGGGGAGGGGGGTGCCAGAGAGAGGCCTCCCCCTCCCTCCAACATGCCTCTGAGTGCTGATGAGTCCACTGGTGGGGGAAGGGGGCACTGCTGGGAGGAAGTTTACAGGGGGTGGGGGAACAGAGGAGGTGGGGATGCAGAGGACCCAGGTGTCCGGGCTCCTGCCTCCAAGTCCCTGGGTAAGGAGGGGACCCAGGCATCTGCCTCCGAGCCGCCGGGCACAGAGAACCCAGGTGTCCAAGGCAGGGAGGGAAGGAGGGGGGTCCTGCAGATTCTGCCTCTAAGCCCCTGGACATGGAGAGAACCCGGGTGTCTGGGCTCCTGTCTCCAAGCCCCTGGGCACAGAGGGGATCAAGGCATCCAGGCACCCACCTCTGATTCAGTGGGCACAGAGAACCCAAGCACCTGGGTGAGTGTGGTCCTATAGATCCTGCGTCTATGCCTCTAGATGCGGAGAGAACCCAGGCATCAGGGCTCCCATCTCCAAGCTGCTGGGCACAGCAAATCCAGGTACTCGGGGGAGGGGGGCTATGGTTCCCACAGATCCTGTCTCTATGCTTCCAGATATTTAGGGAACCCAGGAGTCTGGGTGCCCAGTCCTCAGGTGCTAACTGCCTGAGAGTCAGCACTTGACCCCATCTGCTCTGACCCCCACCCCTCCCTGGGCTAGAAAGAGAACCCAAGTGTCCAAGACCTTGGTCCTCCTCCCCCATTCCTGCCTCTTCGTGTTACGTACCAGTCCCTTGACAGAGCCACAGAGAGAACCCAGGAGTCCAGGCTCCCAGTATCCCATGCTCTGAGCACTGCCCCCTTCTTGCCCTGGAGCTGCAAAAAGAACACAAGCATCTGGGCTCCCAGCACCTTCATTCTAAAGCACTGGGCCTCCTGGAGCCAGGAACAGAACCCAAGCATCTGGGCTCCCTTTCCTACTCTCTGGCTCTTACACAAAGAGTCCAAGCATCTGGGCTCCTTACCACTCTCCTCTCAAAAGCCTAGGACCAAGCAAAGAACCCAGGCATCCAGCTCTCAAATAATGAACCCTGGTATCCAGGCTTCCCTGCCACCCTCTGACTCTTAGACAAAGAACCCAGGTATTCAGGCCCCTTGCCACTCTCCTATTCTTGAAAGTCTGGAACCAAGCAAAGAAGCCAGGAGTCAGGTTCTTAAATAATAGAATTCAGGCCTCCAGTCTCCCCTACCACCCTTAGACAAAGAACCCAGGCATCCGGGCTCCCCTGCCACCCTCAGACTCTTAGGTGAAGAACCCAAGTGTCCAGGCTCCCCGCTTCCTCCTCCAAGTGCTGGAACCGAACCTAGCCCCCCTCCCCTGGCGTCCGGGCTCGCTCTGCCCCTGCGGCGGAACCCAGGCGTCCTGGGGTGGGGGAGGGGGCAATACGTGGGGGGGTGCGAGGGCAGCAAAGCAACCTGATTGGCTTCCATCCATCGGGTAGCGTCCTGCAAGTGATTAAACTCGACGAAGGCGAAGCCGCGGCTCTGCCCTGGAGACAGCAGCGACAGACGCAGGCGTTAGTCACGGCCCGGCCCCACCGCGCCACCGCTGGGCATGGGGGAGGGCAGCAAGGACCCAGATGTCTAGGCCCCCAGCCCCCCAATTCCTGCTCAGAGCCAGCAGGCCCCCCGTGACTTTCTAGGAGGGGACAGAACCCACGTGTCTGGGGCCCCTGCTCTGAGCTACTGGGCCCTCAGTGTCCTTCTGAAGCTACAATAAAACCCAGGCATCCAGGCACCCAGATCCATTGACGCTTGCTCTGAATGTGAAGGGAGGACCCAGGCATCTGGGCCTCCAGCTGCCCAACCACTGCTTTGAGTCAACAGATCCCTGCTGGATTCTGGGAGTGAAAAGAGAACCCAGTCACTCGGGCTCCCATCCTCCCGACCCCTGCTTTGAACATGGAAGTAACGGGAAAGACCCAGGTGTCCAGGCACCTAACTAAGAACCAGCAGGGCCCCACAGCCTTCTGCAAGTGGAAATGGAATCCAGGCATCCAGGCTCCCAGACCCAGCTCTAAGCCTCCTGGGAATGGAGAAAGAACCCAGGGCTCCAGGTTCCCAGCCCCACCAACCCTACTCTAAGCTATCAGGCCCCCAATACACTAAGGCTAAAACAGAATCCATGTGTTCGGACTCTGAATTCCCGACCCAAGTCAACAGGCCCTGGTTGGCTTCTGGGAGCTGAAAGAGAACCCAGGCATTCAGGTTCTGAGCCCCACAGCCCCTACTCTAAGCTATCAGGACCCTGTGGCTGCCCTGATACTGAAGTAGAACCCAAGATTCCAAACTCCCAGCTGTGCCACCCCCACCCCACCCCTGCTGTACGCCATCAGGACCCCAATTGCCTTTCTGAAGCTAAAATAGTGTCCAAGTGTCTAGGCACACAGCCCCCTGATCCCTGCTCTGAGACAATAGGCCCCCACTGCCTTCTGAGAGTGGGGGAAAAACCCAGGCATCTGGGCTCTGAGCCACCTGACCCCCACTTTAACCCTCATGGAAGTAGAGAGAGGTGTCCAGGGTCTGCCCCCATCTCTGAGTCAGCAAGTCCCCATTCAATTAGGGGAGCAGAAAAAGAACCCAGGTGTCCAGACCTCAGTCCTGTGCTCTCCCAGACTCCTGGGGAAAGAACCCAGGTGTCCAGGCTCTATTTGCATATGGACGTACAGTCTCAGTAGCTAATGCCCGCGAGGCACTCCTGGGTTCCTAAATCCCCTGGGGTGCTATGGCAAATTGCTAAGGAGATGCTGTGACCCTGCCCCTTCCAACTCGCAGAATGCATTGGGCCTTGCATGGCACGGTGGAAGATCCCACCCCACCCCCCTGGGAACCTGTGAAAGCCAGTGGTCCCCTGCCCAAATGGAGGAGGGCCAGGGGGAGGGAAGGGGGACACAAGGCTAATGTAGCCCTTGTGCAAAGTCATACCCATGTGAGGTGGGGTGAGAAAAGCAGGTGCCTCCCTCCCCACCCCAGGAATTAGCCCCTCACATGAAGGAGGAGTGGAGATGAGCTAGACTTACCTGGGCAATTCCGGCCTCGTGCCCCTGGCAGGGCAATAAGGACCCCCCACGGGGGGTAGAAAGCCCCCTCTATGGTGGAGGAGGGAGCAGAAATGTGCGTGCAAGGAGGCAGAGAGAGTCCAAGAGAGACGAAGAGAGACAGAGACAGGCCTCACACAGACCCACCAGGGCAGCCTCTGCACCCCTCCTCTAGCTGTGGGGGGCAGGAAGGGGGGGGCAGAAGGGGGAGGGGGGGGTCACCGGGAGCTCACCTGAAGTTTTGTTGCGCATCAGCCGGACCTCACGGGGCTGGATCCCATGTGACTGCAGCTGGGCCCGGATCTGGGGGCAGGAAGGGAAAAATAAGACGCGCGGCTGGAGGGAACCCAGGCATCCAGGCTACCAGGGGCCCTGTGGTCTCCTGCTTGCCTCCTACTCCCCTCCCAAAGAACCCAGGTGCCCAGGCTCCCAGCAACACCTCCCCCGCAGCCCCCTCTCCTCTTCCAGATAACTCAGAGGTCCAAGCTCCCAATCAAGAAATCCCCGAAGACAAGCCCTAAAGGATGGAGCAACCAATCAGAAAGGAGCAAGGCCAACTCTCCAAAGCAGCCAGGTCTCAACAGCACCAGGACAGCAAGAAGCGGATTGCCAATATTTAAAGGGACAGCATCCATTTTTTTTCCCATGGCAGCCTAGGGCTGCAAGAAGAACAGGCCCTGGACAGCTGTTGACCTTCTGGGGCAGAGCTTGTTTTTAAAGAGGTAGTGCCCGTCTTTCTCAATGACACACTATGAGCATGTCACTGCCCTCCTGAAGCTGGCATTGGGTGCGCCCTTCAACCCAAGTCAGGGTGGGAGGGGGAGACAGAAGGGGTGAAGCCTGCATTTAAAGAGACAGTGCGTCATTCTCCATGGTAAAGCATGAGGATGCTGTTGGCCTCCAGCACTAGGGCAGGAGATGGGACCTCTACCCCAGAAGAGGTGGGGCTGACAGAAGAGGCAGGGCCTGGATTTAAAGGGGCAGCATACATCGTTCTCTGTGGCAGCCTGGGGCAGCATGCGCAGCATAATAATGCTGCTGGCTTTCTGCTCGTCCTCCTCAGGCTCAGGCCGGTAGTCCTGATCCCGGTAGTCACCGTCTCCAGGAAAGCCCAGCGCCTCACTTGGGCTGTCCCGCTTCCGCGGTGGCTCTGAACCTGATGATGCCTCATAGGAGTCCTAGAAGGAGAGATTAGGGGGGTGGGGGAAGGAGTCAGAGATTCAGTGAGGGTAGGGCTTCTAATCCCTCCTCAGAACAAGGCAGGCTGGAGGCAGGCTTACATCCCAGGCAGAGGGTGGGATCTCACCCACAAAGAGGAGCTTCTGCCCTGAACTGGACAAGGGGGAAGAGGTCTCTGTCCCCAAGGGCAGGGTAGGCAGGAGGAGCCTATGGTGGAGGTAGGGCCAGGGGCAGCAAGAAGCAGTGGAGAAGCCTCTACCAGGACGGGCAATTATTTCGGCTAGAGGGCCACTTAACGAGTTTTGCTGAGCTATCGAGGGCCACATGTATAGCCCCGTCCCCTGAAAGTATATTTTTGTCTTGATTTGTGTGCGTTTGCACAGCATATCTAGAGACGATGGCATAACAGCTCAAAATACGCTCTTACTGTGTGTGTGGCATGTAAAGGGGTACATGTAGGGGGTTGTGTGGTTTGGGAGTGGGTGTGTAGGATAATATGGGTGTGGGTATGAAGGGGGGGGTGGGAACTGCGTGAGGGCTGTTGGAGGTTGTGGGTGGGAGGTGAAGAGCTAGCCCCACCCATCCCATTCTGGCTACAAGGCCGTGACCCACATGGCACAGAATGTGGCCAGCCCAGTCCAACACAGTTCTGTCTGCAAGGCCAGGGATCTCATGGTAGAGCAGGGAGACAGCCTGGCCCCTCCACACCTCACTGCATGGGTCCTGGCCTTGCAGCCAGGAACAGCATGCCACAGCTGAGACAAGCCAGGCCAGGCTGGTTCCATGCTACACCATTCGGGTCCCAGCCTTGCAGTCACAACTGCATGCTGCCGGGAGGGTACAGGACAGGCTGAACTGGCTCTGTGTTCTGCTGCATGGTTCCTGGCTGCAAGGCTGGGTCCCACACAGCACAGTATGGAGCCAGCCCAGCTTATTCCAGCTACAATGTGCAGTTCCCAGCTACATGACTGGGACCACAGGACACAGCAGGAGCCAGCTGGGAACTGCTGGGGCCATACTGTGCAGTCCCGGCCTTGCAGCTGGGAACAGTAGGCGCCAGCCAGACTGGCGCCTGATGTGCATGCTGCCAGAGCCAGCCCAGCCCCCATGGTTCCTGGCTGCAAGGCCAGGACCACACAGTATGCCATGGAGCCAGCCCAGCTCGGCCCCCGGATGACTCCTGCTGCATCTTACAGTCCTGGCTATGCAGCTGGGAACCACGTGCTGCCGGGCTCGGTTGAGCCAGGACAGGCCAAGTTGGGCTGGCTCTGGCATCATGCAGCTCTCAGCTGCATGGCCAAGACAGCAGAGCGCAGCACTGTGCCAGCCCAACCTGGTGCCATGTTAGTGTGCCAGGAGCCACAAGAAGTCCTGTCATGAGGTTGGGCCCACTCCATGCCTCCATGTGGTGTTCCTGACACTCTAGCCAGGACCCGCATATGGAGGCATGGAGCCAGAGTCCTGCGCGGCAATCACAGGCAGTCCTCTCCAATCCAAACCTGTTCTTACCTGAGTTTCCACTCTCAGACAGAAGGAGGCTGAGGACAGGGTCACAGGCCAGAAGCCACTACTAGCCAGAAGCTTTGGGTTGAGGGCTGGGGGTGAAGTGGGGCTGGGAGTGGAACAGGGCCAGGTGGGCCTTCCTGCTGCTGCCAGCTCCTCCTGCCACTAGTGCCTCCTCGGTTTTTAGACAGGCAACCACTAGCAGGTAATAATTTTCTAAGTTTTAGAGGGGCCCCATGGGCCCGATAGAATGGCCTGGAGGACCAGATCCAGCCTGCAGGCCATATTTTGCCTGCCCCTGCTCTATCCCCAGAGGTAAGGTGAGGAAGGGGACAGGGTCTGACCCCAGATATGGGAGGGAACACACAAGGGGATTAGGGCCTCCACTTGGCATGCTGGAGGGCACCCGAACACCCACCTCTGCACTGTGCTCCCCCGAAGAGTCGTCATAATCTGTGGGGGGCTCGGGTCCCCCAAAATCCCGGGGATAGGAGCGGTAGTCCATGTCCCGATAATCGTGATCCCGCTGGCTGCGCCCCTCGCTGGCACCTTCGTCCTGGGGTCGCTCTGCCGTGCCGTAGCGCCCTGTCCGGTCACCACGCCCACCTCTGGGGAAATGGGACAGAGGTGGGAAGGATCAGGGGGCTTTCAGAACCATTCCCACACCCCAGTCCGGTGGCTTCCCCCCTCCCTCTAACCCAGCACTGGCCCTACCCCCACGCAGAGGTCAGTACCCACTGTGGTCCCTCCAGGGTGCTCCTGGGAAGCCTCCCATCCCCTGCAGACCTTGACCCTGCCAAGCCAGACCCCCAGGGCAAGTCCCTGGGCTAAGGGCGTGGGGAACAGTTTGCAAGGCTCTATGGGGCTGGTTACCTTCTCTCGTACTCCATGTCCTCCAAAACCGGTGCAGTGCCTCCGAGCTCGTCGGGCCCCGGGGAGAGTGGGGCGTTGCCACGCACCTAGATGCCCCCAAAACTGCTGCTACAGGACCTGGGAGCAGACAAGGAGAAAGGGCTCAGGGCAGGTTCTCCCCCAGCTCTGAGGGCAGCGGGGGTGACGCCTGTGCTCTCTGGGGTTGTGGGGACGGAGCGCGGATGCCTCGACTCTCCGGGAGGGCCCCCTCCCTCA